GAAAGTTAATGGATATCTTTCCAATGTGCAGAAAATCCCTTCTCAGTTGTCATGGGAACAAGTGTTCCCTTTGTAAGATTTCTCCTCAATTCCTGTAATGGTGGCAACTAGGGATGCACTGATACAATTTTTTCAGTATTGAGTACCGATATTTTTTTACGGTACTCACCGATACAGAGTAACAGTGCTGTGTGCCCAGATTATCAGGAAGTTGGGCGGCAGATCACGACCCCGTCGCCCTGGCTTCCTGATTGCCTGTGAACCCGGTGTTCTAGCAAAAAGGACGCGGGCTTCACTTCCCGAGGCTGCCTGCCTTCCTGACCAATCAGGAAACCGGGCGGCGAGTCATGAGGTGCCATCTGGCTTCCTGACTGGTCAGGAAGCCAGGCTGCCTAACAACAAGTGAAGCCAGCTTCCTGATTGGAAAGGAAGCCGGCTCCATGTTGACTCGGCACTGCCGGTCAGAGGGAAAGAGGAAGTTCTGGTATTGGAGGCAAGTATCGAAGCATGTGGGCGAGTACGAGTACTCGCCCAAATACTCTGTATCGATACTAGTGTCTTTTTTTCCCCACTCTACCACAAATAATTATGACAAAACTTGCAATTTAATGAATGACATAACAAACATTGTTTTGCCAGTTGTACACAAAACACATTAGTTATTCTGAGTAATCAATTTAAGCATATATCCACCATTTATACTGAAGAAATGAGCTTAGCCAAAGCACTGTTATAAATATTTATTTTTATCTATTGAATAGGCAATCAACATGAAGTGCAAGCTGCATGTACTGCAAATTCTGCCGTACTGCTAACTGGGAACCTTGTTACCCTATCTGGCATATTCCAACAGTCTGCAATGTTATGGTGATGGAAACTATAAAAATCTGTGAAAATAAAATGAATAGAGAAAGAAGAGATGTTTTGCATGCAGTTTTTTTCAAATAATAACCTGGACAAACATTTTTTTACTGACACATAAACCTCATCTAGATTCTAGTACTGCAACAAGCAGCAAAGCACTGTATTCAAAAAAGTTGCCACCAAGCAGATATGGAATAATTAGGTTATTTGGTCAGTGTGAATAAAGAACACATCACATTGTGAATGCCACAATAGTAGGAATGCATAGAAAGTGTGTTTTAGCGAGGAGTGTTGAATTTTAAAGGGCCAGCAAAGCTAAATTCCAATGTATGTAAGGGTATAGAGATTAGCAACTTTTAGGGCTATATGTAAAATTATAATAGTTATAGAACTGAAGATAGATGGCCGATATAAAACTGTGGGAAGCTTTTTGACATACAACTGACAGATTTTCCAGCTTTCCTAATAAAAGTCACTGTAGGCAAACTCTTGAAGTACAAGTTCACTTTAAAAAAAAGCTAGCCCCTAAGCTACCTCCACAAGATATTGGTGGCTCTTCCAGTGTTCACATCCTCAGTCCTGAAATCTTCTCTGGTCGCACCTGTGCAATAACTATTCATAGACCTGAATAGGGATGTACACCTAACATCTCTATTTTTGCCCCCATTCATCACTATAAAGGAGTTACTGCGCAGGATGGGTCTGAGGATGTAAACATTGGAGAAGGCTGCCGCTGTAATGGACAGACAAGTAAGCACTAGGGTGGTGGTGGGGGTTCTAGGTCATGTTAGGAAAATTGGGACTTGTAAAAAATTTTTTACGTGAACTTATCCTTTAAGCCTTCCTAAAGTAAACCTTTTAGGAGTGAACCCTTTCTCTGTCTCCCCTGGTCTGCGTGCTTGTTCAGCAACTTCAGAAGTACTGAAGCAAGTGGGTCTGCACAACAGCCAGGAAACTATCACAAAGATAACAGACGTAATGCTATTGTTTGGAGCCTTCCGAAAATAATAAACGAATAGCCGCTTCTTCTCTTATTAATTCTATTATGATAGGTATAATTTAAGCCTAAAAATGACTAACAGTACCAAATATGCTGCACTCATCTTTAGTACAAATGTAAATACAATCCTACACGTGTATTTTAGATTAACTGGCCCTTTAGCATCGGTATTGGTCTTGAACTAAGGTAAACTAAGAATAATAAACCTTTTGAGAGGCTGTAAATCCACCAGTTCCACTCTTTGGTCATGCTAAGAAAACATATAATTTGGTATAATGAACACCAAACACATGATGTGTATGGAATGAATACAAAAAAATAAGTTACAGCACTTTACAGTCCACTGTACGCAGTGAAATCACTGGAGTGGTTAACGGTTTCATACACAGCCAAGACACCTTATGGGTGAAATCTGAAATTGCAACATGCTATACACCTGAGCCATGGGCAGACACGACTTATTTTAATAACCATCAATATTGAGAACGGATATAAACAATAAAGAAAAGTAAATACTAAAAAGAAAGCAATTGAAAATGGCTATTAGCAATGAGTAGTTCAGGTTACTGTGCTATAAAAGTGGTATTTCTAAATTCTAGGGATTCATGCAGGTCTCTTTTTTTTTTTCTTTAACAAAAATATATTTTTCCTGAGCATTGCAGAGAACACTCTGTAGCAGATGGCATTTTTAGACATTCATCAGCAAAATCTCTGCCTAAATCATGTGCATACAGACAGAATATTTATACAGATGGAAGTTTGAAGGAGGAAAGCTAGTCACTGGCGCATGAACATTGCACAAAAGAAATAAGACAAAAGATGTTATGACCATGATGTTAAAGCTGAACAACTTTCATGTTAGTTGTTAGTGACAGCACCAAAAAAAGCTGCAGGAATAATTTAATTTCCAGATCTGGGGCTGATTCACTGCAATGGTACAAAATTACAACATGAGTGTCCATAGACACCTGTCAGTGTTTGACTTTGTGGGCAAATGACTTCAATTCTGAAAGGTTACTATTGCAACTCCATTTGTTTTTCTCCAGTTGTAATGAATTAGCCCACCATATCATATTTGAAATGTACCCACATTTACATCCTCCATACTTTAGGATGACTGTCATCACTATTTCTGTTTCATATTACAAGCATTTAATAAAAGAGTAAACAATGTTGGTTACATTTGCCTTCATTACATGCAGAAGTTATATATTAAAGATTAAAATCCTTTTCCTCTTCTGATGACTTACTTTCTGGATCATAACCTTTACTAAATAATGAAGGAAAGAAAATAGAACAGGTTATCTCTTAACAGTTTCTAGGAAAACCGAAAGTGGAAAACTGAAAATGTGAATCAAACAATCCAATCCACCAATCCTACAGGGGCTAGTTATGTTTTCACCAAACATTCACGTCTCTAAATGAATCCAATAAGAAAAATGTTGATGAAAGTTATGTGAATCCCGTGTGAAAACATTTATAGACCCCCCCTATGTATTTGAAAGGAATATTTTGCCAATTCGATTTAAAGTGCAGCCTAAATGTTTTTTTTCTTAGTTCGGGGTAGAATGGGGATAGAGTTAAAACCCCTGTCCGGTTTTTACTGCTATCCGGGACTCAACATTTGAGAGATATCCTCACACGTCCTGTCCTGCTGTTCTTACCAGACAGGTGAGAGGAACTCTCCAACAGCAGCACAGGCAGAAATAAAAATGATTTCTTGAGTAGAGTAGAAGAACCTGTTGCATTGTTGTTGTTTTTTGTCTCTGTTGCACATTTTCCCTTACTGCCTGTCTGATTAAACCGTTGTTAGAGATACAGGAAGTGAGGGTACGTCTAATTAAGCCCCCGGGTAGCAGTAGTAAAAACCCTTCAGGAGTTCTAAATCATTCCCTGATTTATCCAAAACTAAAAAAAACATTTTAAAAATGTACAAAGTTAATATACTTTCTTTTTCCCTGGAAATGCATATACAGTTTAGCTTTGCATTGAAGTTTCTACCTACCTCTATGACTACAGTGATATGGAAGCAGCAATGAAATAACCACCACTGGCAACTGTATCTATTACTTGTCTGCTTATGCTAGAAAGGCTTCTGACGTATACGTTGTCCCCAGAGGAAAATGTTTTAATTTACTGTAAAATGCCACAAAACTGAAGTGAATGTTACGGTTGTCTTTAAAGCTCTCATGGAAATGCGAAATTCCACAAAAGATACCTCAGCTGCCTGCATAAGCATTAGTGAACATGATATGTAATGCATATAATTTGCAAAGCCACTTGTTTTACTGCCCTGTCTCCTTTCAATACTAAATGTATCAGAAAAGGTGGAAATATACTATACTGGAGGATATCTATTCCTTGCAGCCTTCTTTGTGTGTCATGCCCAAAAGAGATATTGCTAGGAAAGGGCCTGCAGCTATTTTAAGCGCCCTGAACATTTTTTTCTTGGTTATTTGGTCATACTACAAATAAACAATGCACATAATGTCAGATTGTGAAATTGATGCCATAATGTAAATCAACTCTGTAAACTTTAAACATCTGTTAGTACTCTTTTTACAACTTTAAGACATGAAATCTGGGGAAGTAAGTGTCCCAGTCACATTATATGGAGTTGGAAAAAGGTTTTGACCCCCTCAGTAGCAATGGCTTTTACACTGCCTGCCTGGAACTTTCAGGTAAGAGCCTAGACTGTGAACGTTTTATTTTCTGGGTGCTTTTATAAAAGTCAACCTAAAGGGTCATATTTCAAATCGAAAGCTAAGAAAGCATGACAAACCATATGACATATCCCTGTACAAAAGCCAGTCTACATTAGGAAGAGGGTTACACTTGAGATGCAACTAAACAGGTCTTATTATTTCTTTAAGTTATTACAGGTCTAAACCTCTTTAAATTAAAGCAAAAGAACATTTGAATCCACCATCAGACATGAAAAGGAAGACTAGTTTTTTTTTAACACAATGTGAAGGTGCACATTTACACATACACATATGTGCATGTGTGGGTAGGCAACACACATCGGCATTTGTGTGCATATATAGATCGTATGCATGTACCCAAATATAAAGCAATAACATTTAGAGCTTAGCTATGATAAAAAAAAAAAAAAAAAAAACCTCTGGTTTTCATTAAAAGAAAATATGTTGAAGAAATGTACAAACTTAGAACAAACATTTTCCAGAACTGCTAAGTAAAACAGAGCTTATCACTCTCATTCAGGTAGCCAAAGTTTGGCAGAGCTGGTGCTTTAAGGTTCTAGGTCTGTGATAATAGGAATTCAAATACAGGCACAGTCCAGTTTGATGAAGCAAGGAACTCCATTAAGGCAAGGTCCCTCACAGAAGGACACATCGAAAGAAACTGCTCTTCTTCTGTTGTTCTGGGGTTATTTTCACGCCTTGATTACTGCCTTGGGAACTGTTTCCCTCCTGGAAAAAAATATATAAATGCATTAGACTGAGCACAATCTTTCTAGGAGTCACCATACTTACCATCATGCACTTTGCTTAGGGAACTGCCTTTAGTAAAATCAACCACACAGTATTATATAACACTAGGCAAAAAAAAGTTTTGGAACAGGTCCCCTCATACATTGTAGAACAAATAAGGTTGTTGCACATATTCTATTGTCAGCAGAGATCAAACAACTAAAAGCTGTTCTATATATCCTGGAGCCAACACACTCAGAAACTACTGTATTGTGATGAGTCTTGCATACAGATTTGCACAATTTCAATTGTCAGGGCGGTTGAACATGCCACTGAGTCAGATGAATAGATTTACGCTATGACAGTAACACAGGATTGTAATCCTAGATGTAATCCAAGATTTACTTACCTTATCCTTGCTCCTCCAGTGGTCAGCACTCTCCTCTTTTCCCCCTCCACTCCAGCTTTATAATGTCCCTTGGTGTCCTCACGTCTAATGGCGGTCTATGGAACCTGCATTACACATGATGACGTCAGGGTCATTAGGCCCCTAGAGTCCAGGGTAAAAGAGGTTGTGGGGATCGGTCTAACAGCCCAGACTGAGCCAGCTGGAGCGAGGATCAGGTGAGTCAATGTGCTTTACTCCAGCCTCTATACAAACATGAGCACTTAACCCTTGCAGTGTGCCTACAGTACAGGTACAGACACTTATTCGGCCTACTTCAGAGTATCTTCAGAGACTGGGTCAAACCAGGGGCTGTGCTAAGGTTCTGGACCTAGAAAGCGATCTGTGACTAACACAGAGCGGTCTGGAAAGCACTACAAGGAGAGCCCAGTGCCCGAAGGTCATATTCCAGACAGGCCCCCACAATCATCCAGTCTGGCGGGGTCCAGGTATAGCCTCCAAAAAGGTATTGTTGAGGATATGCTGATCTGCATAGCAGCAAAAAAGAGACAAGCTCAAGCAACTTGTAGATGAAGGCTTGACTGACCCATCTTTCTAGCTGACTGGTGCATTTTTGCTACCTAAACAACAAGCAATATAAGTCAAGCATTACATCCAGTTCATCCTTAGCACCATATACTGCTCAAGTGCATCACTTCCAGCACCAAGTTGTCTCAGCTTAGAGGCATAAGCTAGAAAGTACTTTTACCATTAAAATCCTGCAGTCATTTGGTAATGACTCCTTTATGTCCAGTCCAAGTGCAGGATTTGTATTACCATTTAAAACAGAGATGCTGGTCAAAACTCACCATTGTATTAGAAATTATATATTCATACAAGTGAAAGCTGCACCTTTCTTTAAATGTGATTCGGAAAACAAATGCACTTACCATCTTTTTGTCCATTTTTGCTTTGATGTCTCTCGCCAATGTAAAGAAAGCCTATGAAATAATTAAAATGAGTGTTCATTAAAGTATACACACACACACACATATATACACACATACACACACACACATATACACACACATACATATGTACACACACACACACGTGTTATGTCAACAAAAAGAAAATTTAGAAAAAGTTATACTCAAAATTGACAAACTTTCACCAAGTCAGAATGCAAATGACTCTGTAGTAAATACCCTTAGTCGCCGATTACACACTATATTCAAAGACACCTGCTGCCTAGCATCCATGGTTGCTAGGATGCAGGGGGTCCCTGCCACTCAGCATACTTGGTTGCTAGGACGAAGGCATCTGCAATAGAGTACATTTCCATTGCAAGCATGTAAACAATAGCACAAAGGTTTACAGGAGTACAGTATAAAATATGCCCCATATGCAGGTCCTCAAAGTTTCTCATTTTGGGTTTACGCAGCTTTATGCTGCAGACCAGTGTGCATGGGACCTAAAAGTTCACAGTGAACACATTAACACTGCATGTGTCAGTGCAACAAGACCCATTTACTAAACAATGTATACATTGATAAGATTTTAAGTTTATTGAAGTATTTATTCTGTTATCTGATGACCAACGCTTAATCGTAGTACACTGTTAGCATAATGTGCAAAAAGAAGCATGCGCAACAACAAAAACACAGCCTATGGTACAAATGCCCAGGTTTCCAATACATATAGTTTATCTGTGCATAGCTGAAATTACAAGAGTTAAAAGTAACCACTGCAATATTATATTTAGTACACAGAAAGCTCACTTGAAGCCTTAAATTGTCCAACTATGCTCCCTAGTGGAGAATTCATGTAATCAAATAAAAATGTAAGCAGAGCTCCCAAGCTGATACAAATGATTTTTAATGTGGCTATGTATATTAGGGATGCACCGATACCGATACAAGCATCGGTATCGGCCGCGATACCGAGTATTTGCATGAGTACTCGTACAAATACTCCAAAACATTAAACGAGTACCTGTGCTGCGTCCACCATCTTCAGGGACCCGAATCCGCCGCACACAGGACCTCCATTGCGTCTTCAATGAAGCAAGATGGCCGCAACCTCCTCTGTCATCTGCTCCATTCTGACCTCTTCTCCCGCTGATTGGCCGATTGGATGATTGACAGGCTTCCTCACCAGTCAGGAGTGACTGGTGAGGAAGCCTGTCATCATCCAATCGGCCAATCAGCGGGAGAAGAGTTCAGAATGGAGCAGATGTCACAGCCTAGTCATCTGAAGTGTGCCGGCTTCCAGTGTCGCCCCTTCCGAGGCTGGAGCACTTGTTCAAACCAGTCCACGCTGATTACATGTCAGGAGAACGGAGCTCTGTGACTTGATTGCAGCTCCCGGGTGTCATGATGTGCCGGTTCCTTTTCCCGGTAAGAGACTGATAAGAGACCTGTAGGGTCGCCGTGCTGGGGGATGTCTGAGGCGCTTTAAGGCAGCGATTATATCTTGTTGTATGGAATCCACAGTGGGATATCTGTGCCTATTTGTCTGAACGAGTCTCCACTGGAATGGATTTTATGTAACGTGTGATTTTTATGAAGCACTTTTGTGAGTACAAGATATAGTTCTTCATTACATTTTATTGAAGATTTTACGGGGTGCCGGTGCGTTTATCTGTCTTTTAGTATAGCTGAAGGATTCTCCAGTCCGGAGAGAGCTGCAAGGCCGCGGGCATGATCTTCTAGTCAGTTTACATTTGAGAAATCTGGAGTGAGCTCTGGATGGAAGCAGTCTGTTAAGTGTATATTCTTTTAACACTTGCGTTGTGTTTCTACTGTATGTACATTGTGGTAATGCGTTCTAAAACTACAGTTACAGTAGCATTAAAATCATGATTTTGTATTGCTTTAGAAAAAATGTGACCTGTACCTTTAAGAAAAAGTATCGGTAATTGGTATCGGCGAGTACTTGAAAAAAAGTATCGGTACTCGTACTCGGCCTTAAAAAAGTGGTATCGGTGCATCCCTAATGTATATATTAATAAATGATTCAATGTAATTTTTCTAAATGTAAAAGTGTGACCTCCTGATTTTGACTTGGTATAAGTCTCTTGCAATCTTCTGTAAAGCTGCACTGAAACAGGTCGAGGCAGCATTAGGAGCCAATTAGCTGTGCTGCATACAAAAGCAGTTTAGCATGATAGCCAGAAAACTAGCATCTACAGAAGGAAAAGTCAGTAATGGGAGCTTCTATGTGCAGGAAAGGTTTCACTACTCTTGGGTTTTTTACAGTGTCAAAGAAATCTCTTCAACCAATGCTTTCATTATTTTAGATGGCATGAGAAAGGGTTAGTAGTCTCAGGCTTGTATTGCCAGTTGTGACCTTAACAGTAAGACTCTCACTTTTCATTTCTGTAACACCGGGACAGAAAATGAGGGGAATGGAGCCAGTGGTTTGAACCTACACAATACTAACAAAAAAGGAAAAAAAATGTTGCTATTGCTGTACCCATTGGAGAGATTGCCTGTCCTGCTAAATCACTAGGGCAAAAAGCAAAGATGCAGCAGTGAGATTCTGATAGAAAGAGATTGATAAGGAAGACAGATGCATGGGTAATGTTAAGTGCAATCACAAAAAAAATCACTGTACTTACATTTTCCACATTGATATTGGCCTTTGCACTAGTCTCCATAAATTTAATTCCATACTCGGATGCCAGCTGAATTAAAAAAAAAAAATAATATTAGATATCATGGGCATAGCTAGTCTTTAGAACAGCAAAACACTGAAAGGTCAGTATGACTATATAGTTGATTTACTATATAGAAACTCAATCCATTGAACTTATAAGCTTTGTGGATCACTAGCCACTAAAGGATTCCAGTAAAAATTTGGCAACAGATTTCTTCTAAGAGAAGACCGAAACAGGACTATTGTGGGGTAGAGTTTGCATGTTCTCCCTGTGCTTGTGTGGGTTTCCTCTGGGTACTCTGGTTTCCTCCCACACTCCAAAGACATGCTGGTAGGTTAATTGACTCCTGCCTAAATCGCCCCTGTATGTATGCATGTGAGATAGGAACCTTAGATTGTAAGCTCCTTGAGGGCAGGGACCGATATAAATGTAAAACTGCCTGCGCTATATAAATACCTATAATAAGATTCAGAAGATGACAGAGAATATCAACAGCTGTGGCCTTAAAGTGAACCTGTGTTTTCCCTATGTAGGGCAAAGCAACAGGTTTATTTTATTTGCTCTATTCTCTATTCATTCACTGGGGGGTATAGTGCTTATTTGATATTGTACATTTATCATTTTCCATAGCGTGGGGATTGCAAATTATATATTATTTTATTTGCTGCCCCACCAGGTGTTTGGGTTGCCCCTAGCAGTCAGCCTCCGAGTCTCACCTTCCCAGGGGAGCTATAGACTAAAATCTGATTGCTGCACTTCAATCTGTGACATTGTGCTTTCTCATATAAAAGGAATGTGCTTCATGACAGAAACAAAAATGAAAAAGGATAAAAAGTTTAGTTTGAACACACGTTTTTACAAGTTGATTTTTGACAAGGCTCTCTTACCTTATCCCCCTTCTCCTTCGAAACTTGCCGTTTTTCATTCACGTCACATTTGTTTCCAAGAATCATTTTTTCAACATCAGCCGACGCATGCTACAAAACAAAACACAATCAACAATCATATAATTATCCCATAAAAAAGCCAAATAAGCAAGATTCAAAATAAACTTTACACATACGGCCCAATGTACTAAAGTATCAAACTGTATGCTCACATAATTTATACCCCTGTGATGTGTGCGAACGAGCATGCGCAGCCTACAGCTTTTATATGGGAAATTCAGTGTGGTTTGCTATGGAATATAACTCCAGTGTCCGGATGTATGCCAAATAAGCTGTGACATACCAAAAATAAAAATTTTCAAAACATTTTTGGGTCTAACTGCAGTTAACATTTTTAAATGTGCACACTATGTAGGAATAAAAGCACAGAACGTGCACACGACTATCATTAAAGAGACACGGTCATCAGGTAACACTTTTCAGGCTGCTCACATAGCTGAAATTTTCATAATTTATTTTGTCAGTAACAGCCCTGTACTGGCCCTGGCATCACTAGGGTGTCTTTCTGTTGCCTGTGAAGGCTCTAATACCTGAAGCTGTGTATTGGAGAGTGCCTGCACATTATTAGTGACTAACAAGTTAACACTTGAGCATAGGTCCAAAAAGATGGACAGCAAATCTTAAAGTTGTACAATGAATACCCCAGCACACAAAATATTTACTCAAGCCATCCTCTATGTAGGAGGCAGCCTATGGTGGATGTTCACTGGCGATATTTAGGAGGTTTGGGTCAAAAGCCACAAATTGCATTTATGGGTCTAAAGTACAAGAGTCGGCATCAAAGTACAAATTGTGGTATACAGTGACCAACATTGGACACACAATGCATTTCCTTATTCGCTGTATACAAGCACACAACTATATAGGGTAGTTAAAGGGAAATTCCACTTTCCCAGGTGAATTTTGAAAAATGGAATTACCCTGTCCAATCTTGCCTACTCAAAATCAACCCCCCCCACTATACTTATCTTTCGGCGAACGCTCCCTCCACTCCGCTGGTGTACTATATGTACTCTGTACTGTCGTGCAGCACAGCCCTGTGCTATGGGTTTTGGATTTCGATCGCAGATGGCGAGCACTCATTGGTCAGATTTGTCACCTGACCGCACTGACCAATGAGAAGCACTCCTTGTTCTGTCCCCTTAAGGTGGACACAAAGTCCTCAATCTCTTTTTCTGCAGTCTCTATTCTAAATGCACAGAGGCTTCCCATTCATTAAGAAAATATTTTACTATCAAGCTGTTTCTGAATGGGGAGGAGCCTCTGTACAGAGTACTTCTCCCCATTGAGAAACTTATGAATGAACAGTAGGTGATGTAAATCACCTCCTGTTCATTCATTTATAACTGGGGACACATAGTACTATGTGTCCCCAGTTATTTACAAACACTGGAGTGATCAGCCGATCGACTGGTAGATCGCGATCGACCTTATGGGCACCCCTGCCTTAAGGGATGAACACTCTGGCAAGAGGTGGTCATGGAGAGATGTCGCTGAGGCAACCATGAGCCGAAGGGAGGATGCAGCCAATGTAAAGCATACCAACCTAGCCATCCGTCCTGTTCCATCGTATGCCTTATGTTGATAACAGGGAGAGGGTAAAAATACAATCCCCAAAATGTTTACCAGCAACATAGTCTACTAAACTGGTCTTTATTTCATGCATACCTCTTCAATATTTCGTATCCAGTTTTTTATATTGTCAAATGACTTTTCATTGGTAATATCATATACCAGCATAATCCCCTGAAATAAACAAAAAACAGTCCTCAAAAAATGCATTTACACAGCATGCCATACAGGAAAGGGATCATTATATAATACAGTGGAGCAATAAAATGCATTTGGATTCTATGCCGATTTGTTAATGCTTTCTGAATCTCATGGTTTGCATTGCACAAAAGAAGCAACAGATTTGAGTGAAGACAAAGAAATTAGATTAGAAAACAGATTTACTAGGATTGCAGTTTAATTCAAAAGTCTCTTATCGGCTACAGCACCAATATATAATATGCCTTTGACTGCTTGTGCGTCTCAGTTTAAAGGGGAAAACTATAACAAATACAATAAACTGGGCTGGAACAGCGGCTGGTGATCTGTACACAGGACAGCGCTTTTGCATCCCTCATATGATGCCTCTGACTGATTGCACTGCATATTTTATATGGCTATGCACACACCATCGTCTGTGAGTATATGTTCATTATAGAATTACTGCACAAGGAAGAGGCACTATTTGTCTCCGTGTTTAGTATTGATGTAAAGGTTTCCCAGTTGCTGCCTTACCCTTTGAAGCTTTTTGGGTAATTTCCAGTGAGTCTCCATTAGTGCTGAAATAGTACGTCTATCTATCTATCTATCTATCTATCTATCTATCTATCTATCTATCTATCTATCTATCTATCTATCTATCTACCTTTGGTCCAGGGGTTGCAAATACACAAGCCACACATTTTGAATTTTTTTTTTGTGTATTGATGCACATTTCAAACATGCATTGGTGCACATTTTGAAACTGTAATTTTTTTTTTAACTTAGGCTAGTTTCAAGGGGAGGGATTCTTCAATGAAGTATCAAAAGTCCACTATTAGGCATGTATGTAGGTGTATTCATATGCTTACATTTATTTCTATAGGCTCCGTAATGCTCATTACTGCACTAAAATGCAGCTCCCCATAAACATATTAGTTACTGAGTTTTGGTACCCACCATTGCTCCTCTGTAATATGCCGTTGTGATTGTACGAAACCTCTCTTGCCCAGCAGTGTCCCTTGAAAAAACAAACTCAGTGAATATGAAAAGCATCAAATAATGTACATAATTACATAAATTTTAATACTCCATTGCAAAGTTAGATGTTAGCAGCTGGAATTAAATACTAACTATAGAAAAAGGTGTAAACGTCTACGACCTACTTTAAAATATACAATATCTGCTGATGAGCATCAATAATATACTGATGACTTGAATGGCCAAGAGATCATCAATATTTATGTGCAGCTTTTAACAGCCAGCAATAACAGTTCTAAAGCAAGCATCACCAAAGTCAGGCTGTATGTGAAGTGGGAAGTGGAAAGAGACCTTCAAAAGAGCAATTTACCTGATTGTACAGAGGTAAAATGTGTGCTACACATTTTAACTCAACATGCTATGGGCATTTGTAAGGCTCAAGCTCCACCTTTGTTACAGTAAACTGCCAGTTATCCGGCACCCACGGGAATCCTTAGATGCTGGATAACTGTAGTTTCTGGTAGACTTGTGCGCCGTCAAAAAATGTATTCCATTTCGGAATATCCGTTATTTCGTATCCGAAACTCAATTCGGATTCGTACGAAATACGTATTTTCGGCACATTTTCGTAACTTTACGAACATTCGTTATGATGAAGTTAAAAAGCAAAAATACCTTTGTTAATATTGGAGTCGATGTGGTAGTTGTTTTTTTTATCCGAAATACGATTCCGTTAACTGATTCCGTATCCGAATTTCGTATTAAAAAAAACTACCATCAACTCCAATATAAATGTACTTTGCTTTTTAACTTCAATATAACGAATGTTCGTAACGGAACGAAAATACATCAACGGAATTTCGTATTTCCTGCCTGTATTGTAATGCAACTCTCAGCAGCAGCGGATCCGTATTTCGGATTAAAAAAAAATCTTGTCATGTTGTTCAACCTCATTTACAGGGGTAATATTAGTTCCTGTTTCAAAGAAATTTGGATCCGAAATTCGTTAACGGAATTTCGTATTTCGGATATAATTCAGAAACTGCAATTCGCATTTCGGATGCTTCCGAATTTACGAATTTCAGGAAAATTCGTACGAATTTCGATTCGTAACGAAACGAATCGCACATGTCTAGTTTCTGGTTGCTTGAGAGTTAATAGTAACACTCAAGCAATGCCCCCCACACTCCCCCCTTTCCCTGCAGCCCCATTCACCTGCCGGCTAGCTTCTGCAGCCGACAGACAGCAACGGGGAGCAATAGCCAGACTGCTATTGGATATTTCAAATTGCAATAGCCAATAGCAGGCTGGCTATTGAAACCCCACTCACTGAGCAGAGGAGCAGCCCTGGGGGAGAAAGTTCTCTCTCAGGTCGGCTCCTCTATTCAGTGGGCGAAGTTTTAAAATCCTCCTCTGATTGACAGAAGGCAATGGGCGGATACAAAGGCCCGCCTGTTATTGGACATTTCAAACTGCAATAGCAAACTGGCTATTGCACACCCCCAAAGTCTCCGAGCCTCTCCGACCTGTCCAGCTGGTCTGTGTCTTCTCTGATGTCCGCTGCCTCTGCCGATACAGGCGGGGGAGGTGTGTGAAGAACTAAAGCAGTGTGGCATTGGAGCAGGGAGTTTCGTCTAAACAGCTAAGTGTTGGCGGCGCAGGGAAAAGAATAGCTGAACAGAATGGCGGCAAAGCCCTACCGGGCAAATGGCTGAGCAGTGTGGCGGCTGCACAGGGGTGGGATGAAGAATGGCTAAGCAGGAGGGAAGTCATTAGCACTGCAAGAAAGCAATTCCAATATTTATTAACACATAGGGGTCTATTTATAAAAAATTTGCAGAGCCAAAATCTTTAGGAACGAGATTCACAACACATTATGGCCACTAGATGGAGCTGAGAAGCATCAAAGACTCCAGTGCAAACCTTTTATAAACAGAACCCATAATGTCACATAGGTTACACTGCCCACATTTCATGGTCTCACAGGGTCCCCTTTCTTGGGGCGACTCAGCTATCAGCTTTGCTCCTCTCTTTGCTGGAGGGTCTGACATGAGAAAGAAAACCCCGCCTCTATCAAGATGGCAACCTCCACACAGATATACAGTGTAGAACAAGGCGTGGTAAATCAGTAATAGGGAAGAGATCAGTTGCAGGGAAACCACATGCAATACTTGTAACTGGTCCTTTGCCCTCTGGTTGCCTTTTTTTTCAGTTCCTCTTTGAAAGTCAGCAACAGCATCACGTGAACACTTTCAGTGTTTTCATAGACAGATTTGTGTATATTGCATATGAACTTACAGAAAATGAATTCACTATTTGGACATTATCAGTAAATTTACAGGATGTTCATTTTATACTACTGAGGTTTGGGGGAAAACATGCATACTGAACAATACAACCTTTGAATTTACCACAAATGGTACCTCGAAACAGTCCTCAGTTACAGCACTTCCTGATGTTCCTGAATATAAAACCACTATGACTACACACTGTTGTGTATAGCCAAAGTAATTTGATCAGCCGCTTATACAAAGGGTTTATATCTGTTTTATAGTACTGACTGACAACGTACACTTGTCTAAGGCCTTGTTCACACCAAGCGCGGAGCCGATCTGGACCAGAGCAGGTGCAGACCGGATCAAAACTGCGTCCAATGTATTCCTATGGTATTTTGACCTCCAGTTCACATCGCAGCGTGCGGATCCAGACCGGATGAAAAAACTGCGGCAAGCACTGTTTTACCTGCTCTGGATCTGGTCTGGAACGCATCAAAAACGCATGCAAGTGCCTGAAAGCCCATGTTAAACTTAAAAAAACAAACCGCCCTAAACGCATCAAAAACGCGTCTAAAACGCGGCACAACCCACTGCACTGCGTGTGCAGAAACCTGACCAGATCTGGTCTGCATTTGGTGTGAACAAGGCCTAAAACATTAAAAAACGGGAAAGAACTTTTCACATTGATGTATAAAAATTCAAAATGGTATGTGAATAATTTGTTTCCACATATGGTTTATCTTCATCTACTGGGCATTATGCTCTATTTTTAGAGCAGACACATCAACCATTGCTATTACTTTAGAAGCCAAACAGTAATGAAAAGAAGTATAGCCCCATACCCAGATAGAAGAACAACACAGTGGTACCTCGGTTCACGAATGCTTCTGTTCGCGAACAGGAAGTTCAGCAAAAATTTGCTTCTGTTCGCGAACTCTTCATCGGCTGACTAACACAGCCCATGGCAAGGGCTGACTGCACATTTATACCTAGGGGGCAGGAAAAAAAAAGCTGTTTTACTTACCTGATCCCTGCTCACAAGCCCTCTCCTCTTCTGCTCCAGCTGTGGACTGTCTCTCAGCATCACCACGTACAATGTAGGTCTATGTAGCCTGCATTGTACTTGGAGACATCAGCTGTCCTTAGACCACCAGAGCAAAGGGGAGGAGAGGCTGTAGGGACCGGTCTAACTGCCTGGAGGGAGCTGGCGAGAGTGGGGATCAGGTACAAAAAAAACAGCTTTCTCCTGTCTCCTAGGCATACATGAGCAGTTAACCCTTGTCATTTCCCTGGAGTTGGCTTTAAGGTCAGGTTCGCATTGTGGCACATACTGAGCTCCTGACTGCTAAATACCCTGCAAGTGATGGGGGTAAATTTGTGAACTAAATGGTTCAGTTCACACATTTTAACAGCACATTTGCGGACATTTATTTTTACAGTTTATAAAATGGTGGTTAAGTCATTTACTATAATACGTCAAATATGACATTTGCCAAAAACCTTTACTATATATGCCATTCTGGCGTGTTCCATACGTGGATACATAAAAAAATATGAATTTATCAATGAAACCAGCAAAAGTATGCATGTGGGCACAGAAGAGGTAAGGATCAAGGGGAAATGATTAACATGCATTAAAAGGTGTATGAATGCTTTAACCCTTTCGCTGCCAAGCCCTCCGGAACATTTTTCAAATCAGCTGGCCAAGCCATTCCAGCTGTCACTCACACAGCTGGGCGGATCCCGTCATCTAAGTCGGGATCCGCTCCAGGTGCGGCGTCTCAGTATACCGCGAGCTGTAGCTCGCGGTATACTGAGCTTAGGGTGACGGGAGGACGCTAGTTTGTGTCCTCCCGTTACCCCAAGGAGAACTGTGGGGAAAAACACTGACCCCATAGTTCTCCTTTAAGCATATTTTAATGTTAATAAATATTTTAAATGATAATTGTGCCTTGCTGTGTGCGAGATGAAAAATGCTAGCATTAGATCTACAGGGGCAGGAGACATACAAATATGGTATTTTACATTAACAGAAGAAATGCCAAAATGTCATACTGGGAAGTCCAACAGAGACTTTGGAAATGTAATTTGAGTTCCCTGAGACTTGTAGTTCTACAAAGGCAAGAGAATAGTATAGTGTGTTGGCATTTGCAGTTCTACAAAAAGGCAGAAGACACATCAGTATGTGCCCACTGGGAAATGTAACTCTATAGAAGCGGTAAACAGTATAGTGTGCTGGGACTTGTATAGGCAACACGACCATCTTACATTAGATCAATGGAACATGACATCTTCAATGTTTTAGAACAATCTTTACGGCCCGGTTACATGATGGGGCTTATTTATAAAAGTTGCACCTGGCGTATAGCCAGCCAGGTGACATTCGCACTGCACTAGGATACAGTTCGTGTACCCATCGCACTCAAAACCGCTGCTCCGAGATAAGAGGTGGCTTCTGTCAAAGTATAAGTAAAGGATGGACACCGGCACTCCAAGGCAAATCCAGTATGTCTATTTATTCACGTGCTTGTTGCAAGTTCAAAACACAAGATACTGTATCTTGTGTTTTGAACTTGCAACAAGAACGTGAATAAATAGACATACTGGATTTGCCTTGGAGTGCCGGTGTCCATCCTTTACTTATTCTCACTGCACTAGTGCCCCCGGATGGCGCTGATGAGCACAGGAACCCCTATGTTTTTCCTCGAATACGTTTTCCATTGAAATCACTGGACGTGTATCAAAACGTTTACGTTGCCATGTGTTGTCGCACAGATTCAATATGCATTGCCATGCACTTTGTATTGAATGTCACAGTGATGTGCATCATGATACCTTTACGTGTGTTATGATGCTTCAATGTGGGTCACTGATTTGATGCATGTCCAGTGATTTCAATGAAAATGCATCGAGCAAAAACCCATAGATGTACAAAACTAAAATAAATAAAATGGTTCAATTAAAAATAAAAAGATAAAGACCATTGTATACCCTAAATATGTGACTTAAGCTAAATATAAATCTTAGAAAACCAAAAGGAAAAAATAAAACCTAAAATGTACCACTGCACAGAACACTTCTTTCCATCCTTGTGGTGATGCCAGGTTATCCATGGCAACTGGGAACAGATCATTCAGCTCCAAACTTTGCCTATTAAACATCTGGACTTTGGAAGGCATATGCGTCGCATGTAAAACCCTGTTTTTAGCTCACAAGGACTATTGCAAGATATCAGCTATCTAATACAGACTCCACAAAAATAACAAATGGATGCATGGCAAGTCATCTCTTGACGAGCACTGCGCCAAAGTTTTTGGGCAGCCATGGGTTTATTCATTAAAAAAAAAAGACTTTTTGGGGGCTATGCTTCTCTTTTGGGTCACAGGAGTACCTTTACTAATATACTCCTGTGACACAAAGATAGCCAACAGTGGGCTCATGCTCTCTATCAGCTCACAGCACAGAGCCATGACACAACCAAAAAGGATTCTAAAAAAACATTGCTGGGAGCTACCACAGCTGCTTAATTGAAAGCTGGCTCTGCCCATCTAAATACAGCTGACAGCCAGAGCCAGATATGCCTGCCCCCTTCCCTGTCTGCAGCTCCAGCCAATGTTTGGGAGGCAGAGAGGGGAGGTGGGAATCCCTTTAGGGAGACGTGACTGCAATAGTCACTGCAATCCACTGGAATCAGAGACAGAGAGCTGACTGATCAGCGGTCACATGATCAAATCAGCTCTCAGTGTTAGAAACAGCATGGGCCAAGTGCAGTGTCCCACTCTGACTCCAAGCATTGAGTAGAGTATGTTTCCTCGTGCCACACTTCTCCTTTAACTTGGCCTATATCCGGTTCAATTTCCTCTGGCATGGGTTATATAGAAGATTTAATCCTGCAGTTGTTATACACTGTGGCACAGAGACATGGACAACAAACTTAAAGTTTGTAAGGGCTTGTTCACACCAGTTGAGGTGACTGGTAATTTTCCATGCTAGATCAATGGCAGTCACTGCAAAGGCACACAGAAAACAATTATATTTAATGTGCCCTGTTCACACCACAATGCTAGTTTGATGCGTGGTATGGAAAATGCAGACATGCTGCATTTTTCTGCAACTTACTGGACAGCCCCGAAGGTCACTACAGTGCAGCCAACCTTGCTGATGTGTGGAGATCTTAATGTAGTGTAGATTTTGTACACTGCCAAAAAAGTTTAGGTTTAAAAAAAAAAAAAAAAGAAGATACAATGCATATATGACTATACACTGCTGCCACCAGGCAGACACCAGTCACACACTAAAACAGAACATTTTAGCACATGGCTCGTGTGAACTAAACCAATTTCATTGTGTTTACACGTTTGTAGACTGTTAATGTATAAGGGCCTATTTATAACAGATCAAATGCGCTGGGATCAATTTTCTAATGAATGGTAATGCAATGGCAACAAAAAATGGGTTCACACCGGTGCGTTGTCTTCCTGTCCGTTTTTAGAGGAACACAATGCTGCAAAAACGTGCGCTAACGCAATGGAATTTATAGCCACTGAGCTTTTAAACATTCACATACATTATCTGTAAAAAATAAGTCAAGTCAACTGGACTTGCTGTATTTTTCTTGAAGACGTTTTACTGGTCCTCCAACCAGCTTTCTCAACTCTTTATAAGAAATCTATTGTCTGCCACATACAATGCTGTTTTAACACCTCTCTGGGCAGGTGTCCACATAAACAGATTATGTGGATTGGAGCAACACTCACCATATTTATTCCCAGATAATTTTTTGTACAAGTCATTCTGAATTGAGACAGCTGGTTGGATGACCAGTGAAACGTCTTCAAGAAAAAAACAGCCAGCCTCGACTTATTTTTTACAGATATACCATGACCTGGATGAATGATAACCTTCACAGACACATGTTCAACTCAGTCAAGCCATTGTTTACCACCTGACTAAAAACAATGGGGGGACTTGATCAAAACTGAAGCAGACACAATCTGGAGCAGTTATGCATGGTAACCAATCAGCTTCTCTATTCAGTTTGGTCAGTTAAGATTTGAAAGTTAGATGCTGATTGTTTACCATGCACAGCTGCTCCAGATTTTTTCTGCTCCAGTTTTGATCAATTCCCCTCCTTGTACTCTCTTGTCTGGAAGAGATCTTAATTTAACACTTGTGAAAATGCCAGGCCTCATGCACATGGGACCCCCTGCGTTAACACAGCAGAAGTTATCCCAGATCACTTTTTCCTGGGTCTAGCCATGTTTACATGCGTACATTAGCTGCGTAAAAACAGGCTAAACAGTCCCAGGATGCAGAAAATTCTTGTTTGTGTAAACACAGCTAGACTGAATGCACATTGGCGCTTCTGAACATCTAGGTGAGCATTTAGCCATAGAAAAGCATTAAATGCTTCCAGGTGTGTTAAGAAATGAGCTCCAGACACATCTGGAAACATGGATTTGTATTCCCTTGTGCATGTGACCTAACAGTACCTCTGCTAGAGACTATTGTAAGCTCCTTACTGCTCCCTCTATTAACACACTCTCTAACAATCCCAAAATAGTAGCTGTGAAACATCCACTTTAGCTTCAGAAGGAGGACCACAGCAGCCATGTGTGCTACATGCAAGTCTGCACGGATACTATGGCGGCATCCATTGTTTCCCAACTGGCTGGAATTTTTATTTTCTATTGTCTGACAGCTGAAGTTAAACCCATTGCCAAGAAATATGGGTGCTGCCATTTCAGACAGCCTTCTGAAAATGCCTGGTGCCTGCTGTCTGTGGTTTCTATAGCATAGACATATAGCAGTCATAGACCAGAAACAAGCATACTTGTTACAGGTCAGGGACTTAGAAAAGCACTGAAGCCAAAAAGTCAGCATTACAGCCTGGCAACTAGCATTTGTAGAAGATTATGTAAAGGAGTACTAACAAGCCCAAAACAATCCAGTAGGTTTGCTCCAGTGTCAAAGGGATCAAAGCCTGGGATCACGAAGATCCATTGTGTGCAAGCATGTAGAGCAGTGAACTAAGTGGACACCCTATGGCTAGTGTGTTGGCCACTGCTACAGAGGCAGCATATAAGAAGGACAACCCTGCAGTTGTGTGCCTAAGCTTGTCCATGCAGGAATAACAGCGAGTGACTGTCACCATAGGAGCGCTGTGTGTTCTGGAGGTCTGGAGCCATGCAGTGTGGAAGACGCAGCCGATCTGAACTCTTTCTTGTCGGTGAGCCCTGTTCGGGTAGAACTTATTCCTGTACTGAACAGTAGCTATTTATGTTCTGTTTTCACGTTTGGTAAAAGCCTTTATGTTGAAGATTTGTTTATGCTGATCAATTAACAGGACTTGTTTGACACCTGTGTACCTGTTGTGACCCTGAACCCCTTCAATATAACAAATCAGTAATGGCAGATATTTCTCTCAGGACGGAATTTTTTAAGATATGCTGTTTTTCAAAAACAGTATGCTTATACATTATGCTCATGTATATTCTACTTCTTGAAAATAAATAAATGCACGCATATTGCAAAAAGAAAAAAAAAACTTGGATTTAATAATGTTTTGCACTGCAGCCTGTATAACATTTCAACCACGATCACTGGATTAGGGGTTATATGCACAGGCTCCTGCATACTCTTCTTCCAGCCCCAAGTCCATACGGAGGTACATACCTTCAGTTATGAGGCTGGAGGAAGAGGTCAATGGACTACGGTAACATCACTGCACTTGTGCACCACTGAGATCTACTAGTCCTTCTGCCGTGGTGTCAGACGGAACTTGTACTATCTAAATTCACAGATTCTGTGAATGGATCTGTGAATGAATGTCACAAATGTGCAGGTGGAGCAAAGTCAAATTCAAAAATATACAGGACTCTGCAGGGAGAAGCACCCCACAATTCAGGCAATTGTGGGGTGGTTTGAGGAAGAGGTGCTGTGGAATAGCACCATGTTATGGGTTTAACGTGGAACATAGTATAAAAAGTAGAGTTAGACTTTAAGTCAACACCAGAAATGGCCTGGCACCATTATAACTTCTATGATCATATTCACTGTTACCTCCCTTTGTAAATGAACACTCCCTTGTAGCAGAAACACAGTACATCAAAGTTTCATAAAAGTTATGCAGCTTCTAATACTTGAGCTTTGAAACTCTGGAACATTTATATTCTATATAGAACCCAGCCAACATCATCAATTTTTCCTCTACACACCTGTGAAGGGAAAACTTACTATGCAAATAAGTAAATATATATGTAAATATGCATTAAAGTGAAAAAATGTACAGTAAAAACTTACCATATCTGTAGCTTAATTCGTTTGCCATCTAATTCTATAGTTCTGATTTTAAAGTCAATACCTGCAATGAATAACATCAACATTACTAACTATGATGACAAACAAAAAGAAATCAATAGTACTTTTAAAGTGGAGCTGAAATTATAAGCAACAAAATGGCCCATAGCCTCCCCTTGTGCTCCCAATGATTAGGTCCCATTCACATAGGGTGTTCTGGGATTCCTGCAGCAAGAACTTATGGATTCCTGCATCAGGAATCCCAGGTGTCCCCGTTCAGATGCGGCCACCGTACCTATTGAAGTTAATGACTGGGTAACAGTGGCCGCATCTATCAGGGGCAGTCCACATGTAATCATACATTTTAATATTGGGTACAGAAAAGTTGGTCTGACAAGAACACTAAATTTCAGAAAGACAAACTTTGATACGCTGCGCCACCTAGTATGCCACACCAAATGGGACAACCTATTTCTAACACGGACGAGAAGTGGGATTGTTTTAAGAATACATTACACACCACACAGTACAGTATACATTACATTACACACACAGTACAGTACACACCATGAAATGGTGTGTACATGGATAGAGAACTGGCTACAGGAACGTGTCCAGAGAGTTTTGATAAAATACTCTTTTTCACATTGGTCTAAGGTTGAGAGTGCTGTGCCTCAGGGTTCTGTGCTAGGCCCAATACTGTTTATTAACAATATTGGGGAGGGCATCAATAGCCATGTTTCTGTGTTTGCCAATGCTACTAAAATTGGGAGGGTAATAGACTTTGGATTAGACATGATAACATTACAGGAGGACCTGGATAAAATAGGGGAGTGGGCAACTACATGGCAGATGAGGTTTAACCACCTGAAGATCGTGGTGTTAAACCCCCTTCCTGGCCAGGCCATTTTTAGTATTTAGCGCTGCGGTACTCTGACTGACGTTTATTCCGTCATGTAACACTGTACTGAAATTAATTTTATACCATTTTTTGGGGACACATTGAGCTTTCTTTTGGTGGTATTTAAACCACTGCGGTTTTTATTTTTTTAACTATACAACAAAAAAAGTACCCTACATTTTGAACAAAAAAAACAACCTGTTTCCCTATGAAATGTTACGAAACATTTATCACCCCAATTTTTGGTAAAATATAAAAGACGGGGTCACTTCGGGTAAATGGTCACCAAACATGTCAAGCTTTAAAATTGCCCGTGCAATCGCTAAAAATGACCACACTCAAAATTGGCCAAAGGCGACGCTTTAAAAGCTTTGACCGCTCATTAGTTTAGCGTTATCAGTAATTAATGGCCACTAAAATTATTGCTCTCATTCCGACGTTCACGGCTATATGTAACATGTGCGGTACAATAGGCGGAATCGTCTTTTTCGCACGTTGGCGCACCCAACACATGTTTGCGTCTGTATGTGGGGGGCGGGGGACTTTAAAAAAATGTTTGTGTTATTCTTAATTTTTTTTATTTGCAACTATTTTTTTTAGCTTCTTCATCTTTTTTAAACTTTTTTTTTTTTTTACACTTAACTTTATTGCTATTACATAGGGGGACTAAGAAATCCCCCTATGTGATAGCCAATTTACATGACAGGTCCTCTTTATGGAGACATCAGGGATCTCTAAGACCCCTAATGTCACCTAGGGACCCCCAGAGAAGCTGATGAAGTGGGGCCAACTGTCAATATACAATAACTGAAGTAGGAGAATTATCCACCCACACTGTTTTCTGTTCAGCCCAAAAGCTGAACGAAAAAAAAAAAAAGAAATCTAATAGTGTATATTGTTTTAGCAAGTTATTTTAAGAAATATATATAAAAGTTATGGGTCTGATACGTTTTCTTATCAATGAAGGCAAACGTTTGAGGGCCCATTGACACCATGTCCGGATCATCTCCAGACCAGATTGTTTCCGGACCCAAAATGCATCCTAATTCCTCCCTTTGCTATTTCTGGCCTCTGTTCACACAGTCCGTTGCAGACTAGACCAGAAAAATACTGCATGTCTCATTTTGTCTGGTCTGAAATGCACTGGAACGCATAGAAAAATGCATGAAATGCACTGGAACGCACCTGAGTGCCTATTTTAAGCTAAGAAAAAACAGATCCGGAACACAAAAACATCACGGTAAACATCACAAAAACGCGATGCACTGCATTCCAGATTTGATCCAGATATTATCTGGGACATGGTGTGAACCCAGCCTTAAAGAAACCTATATACTTTCCCTTTAGATCAGGGGTCTCAAACTCAATTCACTTGGGGGCCGCTTTCCAAATTTCAAAGTTCAAAATAAAATGTAACTATATACGGTACCAGTGCTAATGTTTGCGTGTGATTATAATGTCATGTGTTTGTGCTCGTTTCTTCATATGCAATGTCAGTGTACGTGTTTGTGATGGTGAGTGTATTGTCAGTGATGTCGGTATGTGTGTTAATGTTTCTGTGTGTGTCATATCAGTATGTATACATTAGGGCCTCGGCTAACTAATCGATTTTGAAAATAATCGTTAGCTGCAGCTCTAGTATACATGTGTATATGTGTGCAGTGTGTCAGTTTATGTGTGTGTTTATTTCCTACAGTTTTTAATTTTAATCATAGAGGACCAACAGATTCACACATTTTCTCACACACGGAAATACACCCATACACGAAATACACACACATCTCCAACCAAAAATGCACACACTAATATGCACACAATAAGGCCCCATTCACAGCTGTAAGTTTAGGTGCGATTAGGGATTCCAGTAGGGCTGCAACAACTAATCGACTAAATCGATTAAAAAAGTTGTCAACTTTTTCAATCATCGATTAATCGGCTTCCGATTAGTTGGCCCTGTTCACGGCTCCACACACGCTGCGCGCCGCACCTCCTCCCTACCTCACGCTCGCCGCTGCCAGACCCGCTCCACACACTGCACCTCCACCCCGCCTCACACTCACTGCCCGCCCACATCCACAATCGGCACAGGGAAGCGGGGAGAAGAAGTAAGGAGGACCAGGTGTGGGGGTATGACAGCCGCCGATAGACAGGCCCGATCTCAGAAGCAAGTTTCTGGAAGACTGCTCAGGTAAGCCTGCACTTTCCACCCCACATGGTGCTCGATAATGTATTGCTGGGATTTGTATTCCTCTATAGCTGATGGTACATTGCGCTGTATACTATACAGCGCAATATACCATCAGCTATAGAGGAATACAAATCCCAGCAATACATTATACCAGGGCTCAAAATTTCAAGTCCTGAGCTACAAGCCAGGCCTTAAGAGTCACTAGCCACCAGTTGCCCCACCTAACCCTTAAGGCCGTGACACACTGCACGCGAAGCCGTGCATAGCGAAGCAAAGCTATCCGGCACGGAGCTTTGCGTGCAGTGTGTGAGCTGAGTGCAGTCAGATGATTGACTGCACCTTCAGCCAATCGGCTCGTGCTTAACAACCGGCCAGACGTCGCATCCCGTCGCCGGTTTATACGCGCGAGCCAATTGGCTGAAGTTGAAATTATTCATCTCGGCACGCTCAGCTCCGCGAGCTCTCGCCAGCCCAGGAGAAAATTACATGACACACTGCTCGCAAAGGCAGTGTGCCACCGCTCCGCATGCAGTGTGTCATGGCCTTAACTCCGCCCCTAAACACACCCTCTTAAATAATCTTATGATAATTCTTATTTTATGATAGTTGCCGCTTGTAAACGGGAGATTAGGGATTCCTGCTGCAGGAAACCGCCAGTTCCTGACACAGGAATCTCTAATCACATCTGAAATATACTGTATGTGTGAATGGGGCCTAATATACACATACACTAAAGGTGTCCATACACCTGCCGATTATCGTACGATAATCGCGGGTGATCCCAAGCACGCTGGAAAACCTGCCGAAAATTGTAAGATTTTTGGCGGCTTGGTCGGAAGACGAATGCCGCAAGCGCACACTGCCCGCTCAGCACTGCAATCATCGGAAGCCCTCCCCTCAGCGGGGAGGTGTAAGAAACTCACCATGTCCCGTCCCGGGATCGAAATCCGGAACCGCGCATGCGCACAACGGGCCATGGCTGCTCCTCTTGGCGCACGTTGGACCTTGGCTCCTCCTGGAGCAGAAGGCCTCTTAAGACGCGGCCAAACAAATCTTCGGCGTCCTACTGTTTGCAACAGTGAATGCCGAAGATTCACGCTCTGCAACCGCAGACCGTTCAGGCGGACCCATACCAGCATCGCTGCAACCCCACATCGTGGGCGACCCCCACACTGAAGGAGCGCCCCACACCAGATTGACACCCAGATCCTGGAGAACTTATACCTTGGAGCCAGCTATTACTCCGCCATAAAAGCACATAGGAGTGATTCAGGTTGAGGCTTCATAAATCGCAAGTATCTGGGGCAATACTGCCATTTACTGATAACTGATGTGATTTCATAGCATGGACAATTAAAATCTATCATAACCAAACAGTGTTTACATGTATGACTTTAAAATCACTGCTGCCACCTAGTAATGTTATGCAGGAACTGCACTTGACTTTCTGAAGGAACAACGTGTGTATTCATTACATGAGTTGACTACTCATTATATCATATGTAAATCCTACCTCATTACAGCCAGATAGGGAGTAGAGTATTGAACCAGTGGAGTGCAGTACCAGTGCTCACCACTGAGTGTCCTTTCCAAGTTAACCCCATCACATCCAGCTATACCAATTCTCATACCCTTGATTCCACGGTTCCACATGATGTTAATGGTCTCAAACACTTCTCTAAACTGCTGAGAGATTTTATTCTGAGACCGCTTACTGAACAAACCGTGAGATTCCCTCTCCGCAGTTGCGATCCTAGGCTTGCATAGCAGAGTTGTTACAGGAGGGCTTGCGATCATCGCAAGTACGATCTGCCTGTCCAAGATGGGCAGATCGTACGAGATTTTAATGACCTTAGCCCTCGTTCACACCTGAACGCTTTGTAGCGCGTTCTACGCTCGACGAACGCTCTACAAAACGCTCAAAAATATAAATCCCATTGTATTCAATGGTCTGGTTCCCATCTTGGTGTATTTC